GACACTGAGATCAAGACCTGGGCTGAGATCAAGAGTTTGACACTTAAAGACTGAGACACCCAGGCGCCCCTACTCTCTTTTTAAAAAGGTAGCTGCTTGCCACACCATGGAGGAGGAGCAGAATCAAATTTGGGGCAATAACTACAATACCCAGTACAGTATTATCACCCCCATTATAGAATTGAGAAAACTCAGACTCAGAAAGTTTATAACTTGTCCAAAGTTACTCTGTGATCAAAGGCAAGTCACTTAATTTCTCTGATGCCCAATTACTTCCTCTATTATAAGAAGCTAATAATGCCATCAGAAAGTTTGCAAACTCTGTGCTTACACAAGCTGAACACACATATGCACAAACATGTGGAGCACTTACACATTAACTTGCCTCCACTCCAGAAGAGAACAATGAAAATCTTAGAGATGACATCAAATGGCCTCTCCCAAAATTGTCTCAAATATTATGATCTCACATTCTTTCTCAGTTGAAACACTGTGAGTTTGTGAAAGAGTATTCACTCTTGTGTGTATGTGTACATTATGTGGGTGGGAAATAGGCAGAGTAAGCTTTTTCTGACTTAATTTCTGTCCTCAGTAACCCTGGGGAAAGGATACTACTCAGTTAGTTGGCAACTATGGTAGATTAGCCCGTAAGACTTGACAGATGAATTAGATGTGATCCCCAGAGGTGGGCTATCTGAACACACTTGAAAGGAACAAGACCCAAGCAATAAGGACCCAGCATCTTAGTCAGTGTGCCCTGAATTATCTCACCATCCCATTGTTTATCTCACTCCTGTGCTGCCGACCCTGCCACTACTCAGGCAAAACTGCTCTAAGGCACAAAACTGTGCCTTCCTAGCAACATTCTACTCATGCATAGTAGCCTCTTCCAAAAACACACCCAGTGCCTGGAAAATCTTTTCCCACCCTCTGAACAGGCTCCTTTACTACCACCCCAGCCCCAGGTCCTGAAGTCCCAGCCTCCCCTGTTGTCAAGGCCCCACCGATTAATCAGAAAGAGAAGGTAATTTCCTAGCGCCTCTCCCATTACACACTCACCTAAAAGGCCTTTCATCTGTTGTCCAAAAACCCAAGATAAGTATTTCCCAAAGAACAGCTCTTTATTGGTTGGTCTTTCACCTCTCCAGTCTTCATTTTTTCCACAGATAAGTCTGAAGAAGGTAGAAATGGTGTCCAACTTATTTGCAAAGTATCTAACATAATTCTATACTACTCATTCATTCATTCATTCATTCATTCATTCATTCATTAAGTGATAGCATCATCTCTCTGCAAACCTGAATAAGACTCTCTGCCCACTAGGAGCTTATAGATGAGCAGGAGATAGAGAATACAGACAATTACAATACAGAAAGATGCTTGCCCCCATGGGGCTGCTTTCAAAGCCCCCTCAAGTTGTTTGCAGAATTCATTTCCTTGTGTCTGTAGGACTGAAGACCCTATGCTTAAGAAATAGGGAATTAAAGAGGGTAGCATCGAGGTTGCCCTACTCTTTCCAGATAGACAGTAGAAAGAGGGCATTTCAGGAAAAGTGAACAGCAGATGTTGGGGAACACCATCAAGAAGACATGACCACCAGATGACCTGTGAGCTGGATCCTGGGCACTCAGAGACTCCTCATCGTTTCCCCTGTCCTTAGAATGTGGATCCTGCTTGCCTTTCCTGGTCCCAGAGGCTGCTCCACGGACCTACTATTGAGATAGTAATGTGATGTTAAGAACACCTGCACAGCATATGTGACTAAACCCCGTTAAGGCCTCTTTATAAACTTTTAAGATTTGGCAGGTGAGTATGGGGATCCTTTCATCTTGCTGCCGCCCAAGACAAACCTCCTATATAAGTCCCCTTTGCTTATTAAAACTACCACCTACCCACCTAGAGTGGCCTGCCTCTTCAGTCTCTCTCTGAGCTCTGAGTACAGGGGTCAGTTTCAAGTTACACAGGGAAGCTCTCGAGAGGGTTATGAACCAACAGCAGCACAAAGGCATAGCATAGAGTCTATTCAAAGAATAGTCAAAGTTTGAAGGGAGAGTGGCAAGGTGATAAGTCTTGGCAAGTAGGCAGGGGCCAGATTATGAAAAGCTTGCATGCCAAATTAAGAGGTTGAAATGGGAAGTCACTGAAGCATTTTGAATCAGAGAGTGATTGTGTCACAAAGATTCCCCCCAGCAGGAGGAGCAGATCAGGTGAAGGGAACAGAACAGAGAGGCTTTAAGGAAAGATCTGGCCGGAGATGATAGGCCCTGAACTAGGGCAGTGATGGTGCAAGCAGAGAGAAAGGGACAGATCAAGGAGAATTTGATGAGGTATAACTCACAAGACAGAGTACGGGGAGACTCACCTCATCAATACCAAGACTGCAGGAAGGGGAGCAGATTTGGAGAAGAGGAGCACCTCAGTCCATTTTGGGACCTATTGGCTTACAGATGCCTGTGGGACTTGCATGTGGACATGTCCAGGAAGGGTGGACGAGGGTCAAGGGCTCAGTCCTAGGTTGGGTTGAGATGAACATATGTGAGAGTCACACCCATAGAGATGGTGGCTGAGGCCATAGCAGATGATGATGAAATTCCCCAGGGAGAGGATGTGGAGGGAGGAAAAAAGAGGACCCATGGTGGATTTCTGGGAGCACACACAAAGTCATCTGGAGACCACCCAGAAATTGAGACAAACAGTAATTGTGGTTGACTCCTTTGGATCCTGACACTGTATCTTCTCTTTCATACAACACAGGTCCTGGACAAATACGACCAATAATACCTTGTACAATATTATAGTGGAAGGCCTAAAGGGATATGCACAGTCAAAATTATAACAAATTGCGTTTCCTTCCCTTCTCAAATCAAGGCATAACATGTTTGCCGTACAGCTATGTGGCCCTGTTTGCATAGGAGCATGGGTCCCAAAAAGCATCTTTTGTTCCCAAGAAAAGATGTCTTTGCTTGGGTCCAATTGCATTCCTCTGTGAGTAAAGGTGGAACTAGAGGAAGAAAGACACAGAAAGACTCTTTCCCTTTCCTGGAGTTGTATTCGGGGATGAGCCCTGAGCATTAAGACATGAGTTAAATGACACAAGATGTCCAGAGTGTTAGAGGAGGGTCTCCAGGGAAAGACAACTTTGAGGAATGGACAAAATTTCGATAACATATGAGATAAAGGATTTTTTCCTCTTTATTATAATAGCTCTGTGTGTATGTGTGAAGCTAATGGAACACATTCAAAACTCCAACTTCCACCATGTGATAACCAGTAACAATTTCTTTAAATCTTGATTTCTATGAATCAGAGATTTTCCACTTATAGAAAGCTCAAGAATAGGCAAAACTAATCTTTGCTGATTAGAAATCATGATAGTGGTTATATCTAGAGGGTGGTTATTAACTGGAAGGGAGTTGTACAGAATTCTATGGGGTAATGGAGATGTTCTATATCTTGATCCAGGTGGTAGCTACATAGGTGATACATATATAAAAATTCTTCAGGTCATGCATCTGAGACTTCTGTATTTTACTGCATGTAAATTCTATATCAGTAAAAATAGATAATCTGAAACAAAATAAATATAGCATACATTCCTACACACAAACACACAAACAGATAGATACACAATAAGGTCTTTGTTGTCCAGGAGAGAAAATGAAATTAAAAGAAGACTGATGTGATCCGATGATCACTGGGTGTTAACACGCAACTGATGAATCATTGAACACTACATCAAAAACTAATGATGTACTATATGTTGGCTAATAGAACTTAATAAAAAAAGAAAGAAAGAAAAAGAAAAGAAGACTTGAAGTGGAAGAAACTGAAGGACCTAGTGAGATCCAAGAGCTGACATAATGAAAAAGGGAGGGGCAAAGCGGGAGCTCAGGAACCATGATCAGGGTGGGCTGCTGGCCTCTAAGACCTCATGGGTGAAGCAGCCCCATTAGATGGCAAAATCCAAGGTGGGGCTGTGCTGTGAAAAGCTATAATGGAAAAAAGGTGAAGATCATTGGAACTGAGAAGATCTCCAAGAGAAGGAACGTTAGAAGGGTCAGCTATGTGGTCACTAATGCTCACCAAAAAAGATGGCTAGAATAGGAATTCCAAGTGTCAAAGATCTCAAAGCATTTGGGGAAGTAGCCAAGGAGACAAGGAGATGGCAGCTTGAGATAACAGCAAAACACTCGACTCCTGAATGGTTTTTGATTAGGACAGTAAAGGGGAAAAAAATAAATAACTGGTTTAGGGTAAGGAACTCTTTGAAAAATGAGGTTTTTAAGCGAAAATGAAGTTAAAGTTTAGTGTTATATCCCTGGAGGGAGGGAAGGATTGATGTTAGGTCACCTTCTCTTTGCTTCAACATCCCTCTGTGCTGTGCAACCCTAACAAAGCACCCCAACTCAGGGTTCCTTAAGGACAGTACCTATCACAATGCCTGGGGGGCAATGAGTGTTTCATGAGAGAAAAGGAGAAAGGAAAGAAAGGAGGGAAGAAAGGAAGGATCTAAATTCTAAAGAAAACCTCAGGTTGTCATTTTTTAGAGTACATGGTGGGATAAGCATTTTTAAAGGCTGTAAATTACAGAGTTATGGTACTGGAAGGTTACTGAAAAATAGTATTTTAAAATTTTAAAAATATTTAAAAATTTAAAAACATTTGTATTTATTTGATGTGTAGGTAACTGGCTAATTAATGAAGAGACCAAGGGTCAAATGATCGGGAGGAAATCACTTGCTAGACCCTTCCCAAAAGGTGAGTACTCTAAGGAGCCCATTCCCCAAGAAGCGAGAGTGAAAGAAGGGAGGGAGCTGACTGGCAATCCCTTCATATACCAGTCATGTTATAAGGGGTGGAGTGTCCTCGAGTTACTGTATCAGAGTGTGATCCAAAAAGCAGCGGCAGCAGCAGTCTCAACACTGTGCTCATTCCCCGGCAAAGAACAGCCCTCAAGGTTTCCAAGTAAGCCCAGATGGCAATCAGAGTCCTCACATACACAAGGAGCAAACAGAAGTTTAATCGACTTGTAAGGATCTCTTCGATGACTTCAGATAACCTCTCAGAAGTGACCATCTGGCTCAGGGGTCACACAATGGCAGAGTCAAGTAAAGCAAGCAGAGGGGGCAGCAGTTCCCAAAGGGCTGGCTGGCAGGAACAAGACAGGAGGCAGCATGGTCTTGTCATGCTCTTCCCAGGCTCTGTCCTCCTCTTCGGCTCTTCATCTTTCCCTGCCTTTCTTCCTGGTGGTCTCATCAGAACAGAAATCATTCTGACAAATCAAAGAATTAGAGACTAATTAAACCATCTCGCCAGGGCATTGTGAAAAGAAGAATCTCTAAGCAGGAAAAGTAATCTCCAATGGTGAATTTTAGACTTGAAGTCACCTAGACCCAAGAGTTCTTTAGGAACCTGCAATTGCACCATCCAGGCACCTTTGTGTTCAAGTACCTGGATCAATTCATTAGTAATGGAGGGGCTTGCCAAAAGGCTCATCCACGGTTGTTCTGGCCCCTGGACAGCTGGTAACTATGCGGGGGCTTGATTTCACAGCTTCTTTTTCTAGCAGGTGCATTCTGCTTCCCAACTCCTGTACATCAAGATACATTGTATTTGGAGATTTTTTAAAAAAATAAGATATCCTTTGAAATAAATGAAAACACCCTTCATGAAGCCCCAACAGGTGAAAAACTTTTGCTGTCAGCATCTCCTTGGGCTGCTTTCCAAAAACTATAATAAAATCAGTTCCCATCCATAACCTCAGAAATTGTGAGAACCATTTTTTTCCCTTTTTTTAGATTTTATTTATTTGACAGAAAGAGACACAGCAAGAGAGGGAACACAAGCAGGGGGAGTGGGAGAGGGAGAGGCAGGCTTCCCGCTGAGCAGGGAGCCCGATGAGGGGCTGGATCCCAGGACTCCGGGATCATGACCTGAGCCGAAGGCAGACACTTAATGACTGAGCCACCCAGGCGCCCCAAGAGAGATTTTATTTAATGTTTGAAAATATGGGACATGTATAGGGAAGATAAACCTGACCTAACAATGTAAGATCTATTCTCTAATAGGAAACTTAAAGTCCAAAATAGCACAAGTAAGATTAAGTAATTAATTAAGATCAAGTAGTTAGTAACTTTCACATGTCTGTCTGTGTCTTTTTAATGCCACTAGAGTAAATGTGTCCTAGATATAAATGCAAAGCATTTCTTCCTGATTAAACTGAAAATGTAGTGGCTAATCTTGATAATATAATACAATGACAAAAAATTACTTAATTTATTTTAAAGGCTCCCAAATTTATAGGCTTAAACCATGTGTAAAAGAGAGAATTCCAGACATGAACTCAGCTGAAGTGGCAATAGACAAAGAACAAATAAATTGGAGAAGCTCTCTAATTACTTTTGGGTAAAATGAGGGTCCTCACAACAGATTTTTTAAAAATCATTCTCAAGCAAGGGGCACCTGGGTGGTTCAGTCTGTTAAGCGAGGGACTCTTGATTTCAGCTTAGGTCATGGTCTCAGGGTCCTGAGATCAAGCCCGCCTCTGCCTCCGGCTCTGCTGGGCATGGAGCCTGCTTGGCATTCTCTTTCTCCCTCTCCCTCTGCCCCTCCCCGCTCATGCTCTAAGATAGAGAGATAGAGAAAGGAAGGAAGGAAGGAAGGAAGGAAGGAAGGAAGGAAGGAAGGAAGGAAGGAAGGAAGGAAGATGATAGATAAATATCATTCTCAACATGGTAGATGCTGTCAGAAAAATCTTATTCAATAAGATATTTACTTAACAATAGGCTTGATGATTGGTCTAGGAGAACCATACTGGGTAAGAATACCACCTTAGAAGAGCTGGTGGGGAGTGCCATGTTGTATTAGCTCTGCACAGAATTTCTATATCCCAACCAGTTATATGATGTGATTGATTGATGTAATTGCCCTAGGTAGACAGTTAAAATGTTGTTTCTTAAAGTGGGGGAGGAGGTTGTAGACTTCCTCTTTCAAAACCACCGTTCTCTGGTCCCCAGCCCAGCCCAGCCCAGTGGCTCAGATTGGGATTTCTGAAAGTAGGGCCCAGAATCTGTGCTGCAAACATTCCCCAGGTGATCCTTACACACATTAAAAATGGAGAGCTACTGAGTTAAGACTGTATGTATTTCTTTATGTCCCTTTTGGATTTCCCAGAGTAGTGGAATGTGTAACTCCCACTATTCCCAGCACTTTATAACATGCCAGGAAAAAAACTAAGTCGGATTAGCTCAAGTGTCTCTGTTGTCATATGGTAGCTGTATGAGTGGGGATTAGGCAACTCATATATTCTCCTGAATTTTTGCTTCCTCATTTGAAAATAGGGATAACAATATCTACTTCATGGGGCTGTTAGGAAAATTAAATCATATAATACATGCAGATTAAATCATACTGAACACAAGACGGTAAATGGTTCCACCCTTGTGCAATTGCAACCACAAGGGATATGAAATGATTTTACTACAGACGTGACAAGGCCTTCATGACTTTGCTCAGTGAAAAATCTGTTCTTGGTTATGACACCAGACACGGAATAGCTACTTCCAACAAGCTACCTCCAACAAGTAAAAACTGAAACCAGACAAGGAATATTCAGAACCTCTGCAAACTTTTAATATTTTAGAAATCTGAGTAGTAATGAGACAAGGAAAAAATAAGTATAAATCTCAAAAGATGACACAAAACTATTATTTGAAATATATGATTACTAGTAAAAATCATATCAGGTAACAACATCTACTAGTATAAATAGGCCAGTTTGGTAAGACAACCAGTTACAAAATATACAAAAAGAAAAAACTTTCTCCCATATGTGATGTAAACTTTAATAACAGCAAATTTTATATATGATAGAAAAATTTTCTATTCCCAAAAAACAAAATACATAGGAATTAATCTAAATGAAATCCATAGGACCTATATATTAAAAAAAAAATTTTTTTATGTGTTTTTCCATGATTTTTTTGACAAAATCAGCCTTGGTGGGAAGAAAGCAAAACAAAATTTTATTGAAATATGTTAAATATTTGAAGGATAGATGCAAACTGACTTATTAAATGAGAAAAGCCAGCAATGTAAAGATATTGATTCATTTCACAGTAATTTATACACTTAATTCAAATTTCAATTAAAAAAAGATTTTTTGGAATTTAAAAAATTTATTCCAAAGTTAATGAGATGTGATAGCTAAGAAAATAAAAAGAGTAATAACAAAGGAGGTACCTTCACAGTCAGAAAGTAAGATATATTTTAAAGCTGCGATGATTTGAATAATGTGGCCCTGGTGATAGTAGGGATAGCAAGCTCCATGAAATGGAATAGGAAGTCCAGAAACTAAGTAGTATATATAATTATTCACCATACAATAAACATGAGAGATTATTCAATAAAGAGTACTGAGATTTTAAAAGGCAATAATATTAGTATTTTACCTCACTCTATTTACCAAAATTAATTCCATATCGGCTAAGTAATTAAAAATTTTTAAGTGAAATGAACAGATGAGAAAACAAACAAAACCCTGGATGAAAATACAGTGACTGTTTATATAACCCCGGAATAAGAAAGGAATTTATATGCATTACACCATGGTAGAAGCTACAAAAGTAATAATAATAAATTTGATTTTGTAGTAAAAAGCAATATACAAAATTAAGAAAATAGGGGAAAGTATTTGTAGCTTATATAATAAAGGATCCATATCCTTACTATATAGAGAGTATCTTAAGTATTTAAAATAACTCACATTTATTTAGCAATTACTATATGCCCAAAGGTGTTTCAAATGCTTTACATATACTAACGTATTTACTTCTCACAACAATACTCTGAGATAGACATGATTCTTCATTCTATAGATGATAAAACTGAGGCACAGAGAGGCTAAGTAATTTACCCAGGATTACACAGCCAGTAAGAGACAGAGTGGGATTTGGGTCCAGGCAGTTGGGCTCCACACTAATAACCACTCTACTATGCTACCAGTGAGTTAGTAGACTTCATGTATCCACACAAAGAAATAAGAAAAAGATGACCAAAACAAAGGACCGGTGACCTAAAGAAGCAAATCATACAAAAAAGTTTATCTGACCATGAAACATATGTAAATATATTTAGACTCATAATCAAAGAAATGCCATATTAATACTGAGATACCATTTTATACCTATCAAAATGAAAAAGATTAAAAAGGTAAGTGCCCACTGTTAACCACAGTCTTGAAATGGCTATTTCCATACACTGCTGATGAGAGCAAACTTGGTATCACCTTTCATTATGAAGGGCAACATGGCAACATTTATCAAAACGCTTAAAATGTATATGCCCTTTGACCCTACAATTTCACTTCTAGGATTTCATTCTGAAGAAAATTGTCAAATGAGTGCAAATACATCTGTGCAACCATGTTCCCAACAATATTATATATGATAGAAAAATGGAAATGATTCACCTATCTCCATAAAATTGAACTAATAAACTCTATTAACAAAAAGGTTGTAAAATACATTTTTATATGAATACTATGGGAAAATGAATATAACATATTGCCAAATTTTAAAATGTTATAACACAGGAAGCATTTATGACAGTTCTTTTGTAATACAAATTAAAATGCACGTGTGTGTGTGTGTGTGTATGCACACTAAAATATTAATAGTGATGACTTCTGGGTGGTAGAATTGTAAATAGTTTTTCCCTTGTGCTTTTTGGTGTTTTCCACATTTTCTCTACTGATCACATTCTGTAAATAGGGGTGATAACACTCATTCTTAAGGGGGGAAAAAGCGGGAAGTAATTTTTCCAGCCAAGGGGAATGGACAAAACACAGTGTCAGACCACCAGAGGAAAAGAGAGGAAAATAGAACAAGACTATATATATCAGGCTAGAAGGACAAGGTATTTCTTAGTAATACGTGACAAGCAACAGGCTTACCAAATACCCCTTTGATGGGAGGATAAGTCTCCTTAGCCATGCAGTTGGCAAAAACTCTAGAAATAACTTTGAAAGAGGACAAAAACAGAGAATGAGAATAAGATTCGTCATTCAAGAAACTAGACGCCCCCACCCTGACTAGCTTACAGAAACACAGATGAGAGATCTAAGGCATTCTCATAACCGTCCTTGAATCGAGACTTGATTCACCAGTGCCTTAGGCAGGAGGCACTGGAAGTTAGAATCAGTACTCCACTGCAAATCAGTGATAATGTACTGAACATAATTATGCTGGAGTTAATTGCATAGTAAATTATATC